TTTTGGAGGAGGTCTTATTTTCGGGGGGATGCCTTATATTTCAGTGAGAGGCAAAACTATAAGTAGGTCTTATTTGGGGGGATGTCTTACTTTGGGGGAAACAGGGTAGTATCTTGTTCTGTTGTGAAGAAGGTCGCTATGGGTCAGACCAACTAGATGGCACCTAATAACAACAACAACAGGAATGGGAGAAGGGAAGGGAAGTCACCACCTAGAAGTTAGACATGCTTTAACTTTGAACCAAAATTCAAACCAATCTCACAGTCATTGAGTCAATTCATAACCATCCTATAGGACATAGATCAAAAAAGAGAAGTATGCCGAATCCAGAACTCAGGAAGAGAGGCTGAGGGATCTGTGGTGATGTTTTCTGAGAAAAGCAATCCTCTGAGAAAGCCCCTAGAAAATTAAGTTGAGGCTGGGTAGGAAGATGACACTACCAAGCATGAGAAGAGATTGTGCTACTGAGGGGGAAATGTTTTTGTTTGTCTAAGGTTTGCTCCTTCCATCCCAGCTCTATTTGATACAGGACACTGCTCCCTCCGGCCATTAATAACAGCACACACATATAATCCAGGAGGTGGCTGTCAACAGAAACCCTGACCCCCTGTTATTTCCCACCACGATTTATAAGAATAGGCAAACACATCTTAGCCTCTGAAATGAACTGTCTCTTCTGACAGCTTCTTAAATGTACACTTGCACCATTTGCTAAATGATGGACAAACCACATTCTAAATGATAACGGTGTCCCCTCTCTGTAGGCAGCTATGAGTTGGAATGGGCCGAACGGCAGTGGGTTTTGAGACCTCTCTGTCCCCACAGCACACACTCTGCCACCTACCTTGTGTTCCTCCTTCATCACCTGTTCAATGAGCTCAGATTTCACCGGGGGTTTTGAATACTGGCCCGAGAGAAGGCCGTGTCCTAACTTGGTCCTGGACAGCAGGGAGAAACAAAAACAAGTAGGTCATTGTTGTTTTTCCTCTAAGGTGGTGAAATTATCTATGAATGTCATTAAGTCCAGCTGTTCTCGGATAGAACACTTCATCGCAATTACTCACAAATAGTCATTTATTTGGATCTCAAAGGTTTCAAGCTTTTCTCGGGATGTTAAAATAAATTTACTAATTTCTTTCTCCTTACGAAAGTTAAGACATGCTCACTTGAAAAACATTTTTTTAAGTTTAAAAAAAAAAACAACAGGTAAAAATGACAGAGAAGGAGGGGGTGGGGGGGGATGTCTTGCAAGTTGTAACCCAAAGACACCCAGGGTGGCTGTTTCACTGGATTCTTTAGATTTAAAAAAGGAACAAACAGCTGGCACTTACATCTGTGTGTTGAAATCTTGCGTTGGGTCTAAAGGAGAGTAGTCAAATATTCTTGGCAGGTTTCCTACATACCTGAGAAATTAGAAATGACAGTCAAACAGGGGACCTAAGAGAAGAACAGAACCAACATACGCTGTCATTCTCCCCAAGACCCCATTGCTTTGGGGTCTAAGTTAAACCAACTACCTGAAAAGAAGGTTGTTTTTTCCTGGAGGTTCTGGCCCCCCTTAAAATCTTTATCCTTTTTTCAGTAGTTCTCAACCATGACTGAGTCTTTAAAGTCAAACGTTTTGTTTGCTTGCAGCGCGCCCGCACACCCCAATTAAAGAAAATAGAAAACATTATTGATCCAGGCAACTCCAGCACATGGTGACCCCGTGTGTGCGTCAGGGTATAACTTTGCTCCCTAGAGCTATCAATGACTGGTTTTTCAGAAGTGGTGGGCAGAAGTAAATCCCAGGCACCTCTGGTTAGACTCAAACTGCCAAGCTTTCAGTTGGCATCCAAGTGCACTAGCTATCTGTGCTCTAATTTTACTAATCCACCTGGGGGCCTGCCATTTTGGACTCAGTGAAAAGGTCCCCAGGAGATTCTAGCAAGCAGCCCTTGTTGAGAAACACTGGTTTCTACTATCACCCTTGCCACCTCAAAAGCAAATGGTATACAGCTTAGGCATGGAGATGACGTGAATGGTGGTGCAGTAACCAAGAAAAGCACAGTGATTATACTGTACCACATGGAGATGGTCACTGAATGGTACATGTCCAAATGGTTGAATTGTCAAGTGTTCTGTCACGTATATTTTTACCACAATTTAAAAAAATAGTCAAGTTGGGAACATTCAAATCCTCGTAAAATGGGTGAGTTAGTTAATTGTGCCAACCTGGCCGATAATCACATGTGGGGCTAATTGAAAGTCAGAGTGATAAATGGGTGGTGAGCCTCACCTTTCTAGTTCTCGGGTCTCTTGCTTTGTGATGGTCGCACCAGGGTGCAGCTGCCTTAGCAGTTCCCTGCTTCAGCTTGCAAGATTGACTTCCTACAAGACATCCCCAAGGAGAAGCCACATGGACCTATCCCGATGCAGCCCTGGGTGCTGGAGCAGCCGTGTGGAGACCCCTGCTAGTGCTGAGATGCTTATTCATTCACTGACTCAGCTTTCCTCCTGCAGTCGGCGTCATTGCCTCTGTTTTGTGAGGTGGAGGACTTTGTGGACTGGTGTTGAGTTAATGGGTTAATGTTGGACTTGTGGGCTTGGGCAGCATTGGGTTGGGATGTTTACGTGATGCACACTTTCTTTACATAAAACTCTCTTATACATGGGTTGCTGTGGATTTGTTTCTCTAAAGTATCTAGACTAATACAATGGGTAATACCCACAGTCCCCAACTTACGATGTATCTGAGTTACTAGCCAACATACTTATAGCAGTCCACTGTTTTCTGGCTGTTGGTGTGCTTTTTGTGTGGTGGGGGGGTGGGGTGAGCTTATCCTAAGTAATATGTATGCCCAGGTTTCATCAAGATTTACCATGATATTATTTACACCTTTAGGTTTATTATCTTCCTCTCCACTAGACTGTAATCCCCGCAATAGAGCAGTGTCTGGCATGGAAGGGGCAGCTGATATACACTTGTTAAATGAATGCATTCATCTCATGAAACATACAACCAGCCAATCTGAGAGAGCAAGAGACTACATACAGCCCAAGAGAAAAGGCTTTCTTGACAGAAAGTCCTAGCAACGAGCACCCGTAATTCGCAATGTCCCAAGTTTCTATGTGGAATTTCTCCACTATCAGATCCTTGTAGGCAACTGCTTTCACAAACTCAGAATTGGAATTCCAATATAGGTAGCTACATCAAAATTAGGAAGGCCCCCTTCTTGGGGTCAATCCATTTCAAGTGACTTTTGAATGGAAGCACTAGGTCAAGAACCGCAGCTAGAAATTGTCAGAGAACCAAAAGCCACACAACAGAAGAGCCAATATGTGGAACCAAACGATTTCCTAAGACAGAGGCGACAGTGAAGAATTCTTAATAATGTCCTAATAGACAACCGGATAAACTCATCTGTTGTCTTATAATCCAGTCTTTATTATATCTCCTACCAATCTGAGAAAACACGAAATGAACAGGGAAAAGGAGCACTAGTGAAGAAGGCTTATCCGTCCAGGTAACATTGATGGCCCTTTCATGGAAAACATTGTACTTCAAGATAGAGCTTGAAATGCCCTTTTGACAACGCATGCAATGCCATTCCTCCGGAATTTGTCTTCCTGGTGTAGTAAATTATTTACTTGTGTGTTTCAAAATGGGTCCATTTCGGCTCACTGGTGCCCGGGCTATCAATCTGTATGCATTCCATTTAATTTTTGAAGATTTCTAATTTTCCGACACTTGTACTTGATACAGATCATGTTCCAGTTCCTAGGGAATGTCTTTAATGGTGTCTCCTCATCTTTCAGTCATGCGCAATAGAGAAGCTTCACCCCTTTCACATCGTTAAGATCTACACTTCCTCCCACAGTTTTTTAACTACCTTCCAACATACGGGCCTCCTCTTCCGGCACTCTCTCTGACAACGCCTCGCTGCTCTTCCCATGGCTAATCTCTCAATCGTGAACAGCCTATTCCTCCTTCGTAGTCTTTTCTGAATTTGGAAGCTTCCCTGGAGCCAGTTTGCCATGGGTGACCCCGCTGGTATTTGCAATAACTGTGGCATGCTGGTGGCACAGCTTCCTGCATCTCAGCAGTACACAAGCCACCGCAGCGTGACAAGTTTGATGAATGGTGGACGCTAGGAATAGCACAAGCACTTGACCCATATGGAATCAAACTCACATGGACATCCCCATGGCTTTTAGTAGCAATTAATAAAAAGTATGTCAAATATCCACTTATTTCCCATCTGGGTATTTGAAGACTGGCCACTCGTTGCTGTCTTCTGTTTCTGACCATGTGTGGTCAGTTTCACACCTCTATTTTTCATTTTTCCGTTCAGTAGGTCAAGGGTGGGTTCTGCCCTGCCGAGCAGTGTATTGGGTGTGGGGATTTAGCCATGAACAGAATGGACAAGGTACCTATCCACATGAAACTCACAGCCCACTTGGGGAAATAAATATAAAGAATCAGAAGAAGAATTAAATTGCTGTAAATCTGACAAATCTCACGGAGGAAAAGAGAACGAAGGAGTCAGGGAGCCCTCTGAGGAAGAGACACACGAAACACCTGGCAGATGTGCAGGGAGTGGGGCAAAGAGTTTTTAAGCAGAAGGAAAAGAAAATTTGAAACTCTTTCATTTAAATTAAAGTCAAATTTAAAGGAACGGAACATATTATTTCTATTATAAGTTCCCTATGTCTTATACTTGCATTATTATCATTTAATTGGGGAACAATGTAGGTTCATTTTATATAACTCATACTCTATAATTTAAAAAACTGTTTCAGGAATATCCTTAAGTTGGTATTGTATAATTATTATTTCTGTAAATTAGAATTGAAGAAACATGCACTCTTTTGTTAATATTTTTAGTGCTTTACAGTCTTCAATTTCGATAAATTATTTTTACATTCCAAAGTTGGATGAAGAATTAGCTTTCTGAATTTTTCCTTCATATATATGTATATATATATATATATATAATTTTGGTCTTTTGCATTTAAGATTCATATCTCTCATCTTAGTTTTGTTTCAATAAGGTTAGGATTTTATATAATATTGTCATATATATGGGTTGGGAAAAGCTTGTGAGAAAATCCCATTATCTTTGCTTCCAATTTCCCATGGATGATGTCCTTGCTGTCCCCCACAGCTCGTCGGGTCTCCTGTCATTCGTGCTCCATGCAGCATGTCTGTTCGAGACATTCTGGTGGGATCCCCTCAAGGTAAGAGCGGGCTCTAGTGGGCTGTTTTAATTTTATTCAGCTTCAATTGGAACTTACATGGGAGCAAGTGCTGGTCTGGTTTCTCCAGCTTCTCCTCCTACAAGTGGGGTCCATTTGATTTCTGTACATCCCGTCTGGAGAAGGCCATGTGTACTGTGGCCATTGGTGGTGTTGAAAGGCGGTATTTGTGATGAACAAATTGTTTGTTTTGCAAAGTTCTATCATGCAATCTCCCGCCACTTCAGTGCTCTTACCCAGACCATATTTTCCCAGTACTCTTCCTTCCTCTTTGGTTCCCATCACCATCGTACTTCCAGATAGATCCTGACAGGTCCTTTGAGACCAGTGGTTCTCAACTTCCCAAAACCGTGATCCTTTCATACAGTGCCTCATGCTGTGGTGACCCCAAACCATAAAATGATTGTCGTTGCTACTTCATAACTGTAATTTTGCTACTGTTATGAATCAGGCAACCCCTGTGAAAGGATTGTTTGACCCCCAAAGGGGTCTTGACCCACAGGTTGAGAACTGCTGCTCTAGACAACGAATGGAATGCCATTCCTCTGGATTCTGCCACTCCTGGCACCGGAAAGCGTATGATTTTCTGATCCATAATGGCCAAGATCAGTCCATTTAACCTCGCTCAAATCACTGGATCTCTCCTGGTTCCTATATGAAGGAATAAGACCCACTGAGTGGGTTTGCCTTGAGAATGAATGATTAATATATTCTTGGCACATAGGGATGATCTAAAGATGGAAGCCATTATTAACACCACAAAACCCTACAGGGTGCTTTCTCCATTTACGAAGCTTCCTTTATTTCATCTGATCCCTGTCACAGTGGGTCCAAATCCGCTGGAGTGGAACAAGCCATACCACATAGACCCATAAGACTTGAAAGCAGGGACACAAACAGATACCTGTGTGGCAATGTCCACTGTGGCCCTCGTAATGGTAGCCGGAAGATGGGAACAACCCCAGTGGCCATGAGCAGAAGAATGAAAAAACAAAGCGCAGTACACAGCTATACGGGAATACGACTCAGCCACTAAGACAACTGAAGTCCTGTTACACGCTACACCATGGATGAGCCTCACCAAAATAAAAGAGATGCAAAAGGACAAACATACATGAAATGTCTGGAGCAGGGGTGTCAAACTCAAAACGCAGGCCATTTGGTGTGACAGGCAAGATTCACGTGGGCCACATCACCTTTACCAATTTTGTTAAACTTATATTTTGAAGTGAGGATTCAGGAATATGGAAAGGATAATTAAGAAACTATAAAATTGCTTTTATTTAAACATTTATTTTATTGGATGTATTTATAAAACTGAAATTATTCTTTTTTACCCGAAACTTGCCAGCACTTTCCTCCTACTAGTTTTCACTTACCTCTTATGTTGTGACCGGAAAATATAACAAAATAACTAATAAAAAACACAAAATGGTGGACAGCTGATAAGCGTGATACACAATCGTATGTCTTCCCTCTAAAAATGTTAACTAGGGCTGCCGCTAGGTCTGATTCATAACAGCATAACCCAGAGTGCTCTTTTTAACCTTCTTGCTTTTGGGATCTATTTACATTAGGTGACACTGAGAGTGGCAGACACATCGCTTCCAAACATCACTGGAACTGAGTCAGCGTGTTTATACACATCCACAGGCCCTCAGGAAAGGCCCTGGGCCACGAGTATACTCATCTTCAGTAGTTAAAGGGTTAATGAGGGAATTGTGTGTACGGTATTGCCTCGTTTTTCCTTAGCACTATTTTCTTTTTTTTTTTTTTAAACATTTTATTAGGGGCTCATACAACTGTTATCCCAATCCATACACACATCAATTGTGTAAAGCGCATTTGTACATCGTTTCTCAAAACATTTTCTCTCCATTTAAACCCCCGACATTAGGTCCTCATTTTTCCCCTCCCTCCCCGCTCCCCCCTCCCTCATGAGCCCTTGATAGTTTATAAATGGGTATTTTGTCATATCTTGCCCTGTCCGACGTCTCCCTTCCTCCACTTTTCGGTTGTCTGTCCCCCAGGGAGGAGGTCACACACAGTTCCATGTAATCGGTTCCCTCTTTCCTACCCATTCTCCCTTTACCCTCCCTGTTTTGCCACTCACACCACTGGTCCTATAGGGCTCATCCGTCCTGGATTCCCTGTATTTTCAGTTCCTATCTGTACCAGTGTACCTCCTCTGGTCTAGCCAGACTTGCAAGATCAAATTCGAGTCATGGTAGTGGGAGCGGGGAGGAAACCTTTAGGAACTAGAGGAAGGTTGTATTTCTCATCATTGTTACATCGCACCCTGACTGGCTCATCTCCTCCCCGAGACCCCTCTGCAAGGGGATCTCCAGTGTCCTACTAATGGGCTTTGGATCTCCACTCCACACTCCCCCCATCATTCACTATATCTGAGAATTGCAGGTCACAAAAAATTACTTCGGGGGCCGCATGTGGCCCCAGGCCACCAGTTTGACACCCCTGGTCTAGAGGAAGCAAAGGCATTTATTCATGGTGCCCGGGGGTAAGAGGGAGAGCTCGTGGGAAGTTACAGCTTCAGGAGGTCAACATTTCTGTAAAAAGTGATGAAAAATTTGGAAGCCTAGTGGATGTACAGCATGGTGAGTATAATTAATGTCCCGGAACTAAACGTAAAAAACACTGGGATGGCCAATGATTTGCTTGTTATATGCTTTTTAACCACAATTGTTGGTAAATGTTTTGTTGGGTTTGTTTTTTTTTATCAACCTGAAGTTGGCAAAGATACTCTTGTCAATCTATATTGACTGGCTGAGACCTAAAGAACCCTGGTAGCGTAGTGGTTACCCATTGGGCTGCGACTCCCAAGGTCAGCAGTTCAAAAGCACCAGCCAATCGGTGGGAGAGAGACAAGGCTTTCTACTCCCGTTAACAGTTAGTCTCCGAACCCACAGGGGCAGTGCTCCCCTGCCCTGCAGGGCGAGTATGGTTTGTTTGCAGGATATCTAAAGAGGCAGAGCTGCACCCAGCATGCAGTGCGGGAAGATGGGGGGACTTACGCCCTCTGGAACTCTGGGATGCTGAAGATGGCTTGCATGACCGAACCGAGATAGCAGCTGTTGCCCAGGTTCTTCAGCCCCGTATAGCCGGGGCCGTACATGGGCTTCAGCTTTGTCCCCGACTCTTGGATGACCTCCCACTCGCTGACTCTCGGCTTGATGTCATTGTCCCGGAGCCCGTTCTCGGTCTGGGGCAAAAGCAGGAAGAAAAGCAAGTTGATATGTGATGGTCTTTCTTTGATCGGGTCTCATGAACTATTTCCAAAGGCAACAGATGCCCCTCTCACCCTCTCCCCCCTCCCACCACCACCACCAAAACTGAGTAGAGAAATCAACCACCTAATTAAAAGAGCCCGAGTGGGTAGGCAAGAGGAGGAAAAAGAATGACCCGCATCAAGCAGAGTCATTTCAAAGGAAAATACAGCACAACGCAGCAAACGGGAAAGCCAGGCAATTCGGGAGGAACGTGGAGAAAATAGCAATGTGGAAATGAGGACCTAATGCCGGGGGCTTAAGTGGAGAGGAAATGTTTTGAGAATGATGAGGGCAATGAATGTACAAATGTGCTTTACACAATTGATGTATGTATGGGCTGTGATAAGAGTTGTATGAGCCCCTAATAAAATGATTTAAAAAAAAAAAAGATTTGAAGAAGAGGAGCGAACAATCAATGGGGGAAAAATGACTATAAATGAGAAAGAGGAGACTAAGACTATGAGGACAGGGTGACTGCCCAGGTGGGAGGACAGAGCTGAAACAAAACACTCGCATTTCAAACCGTTCTTCGGATGGGAAAATAGGGCATCGCTTGAAAACGCCATCAGACGTGAGGGAAAGTGTCTCCATTGGCAAAACGTGCAGGGATATTTTTTCCACCCCTTTGGAACTCTGCCTCCCTTTCCGAAATTAATAAGACGATGTTGGCCGTAGATAAGTTTAGAGGTCACCGTCTCCCCGAATGTTCTCCCTTCGCTAAACACAGAGCGACTCAGGGCAGCTCTCCATCAGTGGAGGCAGAATATGGAGTAAACTCCAACTGAAACGAATGGACAGCTCCCGACGAGGTGCCGCTTATTCCCACGTGAACACCTCAGCTAGACGTCCAAAGAAAACACGGACTAGTTCATTCGAGAAGGAACTGTGCCTATTGAAACCTCAATCCTGCTAAATGAAGGCCTCTGTGAGAGGGATGATATGGTAACTAAACCCCAAAGTTCCCTCCTCATCGGGCTGGAACAGAAGCAAACAAAGTAGACAATCTCACCCCGTGCATGTGAAGCATGTCAATTCCAAAATGTGCTAAGTGCCTGGCCAAATGAGGATCTAAGACAGGCTCCTCTTCTTGAAAAGAATAAACATCTAGGGGGAGACAAAAGAAACACGGAGGCTTGTAGTTAGTTGCATCATTCCATTTTCAACGTGCAGACGTCACACATCCACTACCCATAAGGCCTAGAATACAGCCAAGAACAAAGCAATCTTAAACCCTGGCCCCACTGGGTAACATGCTAGCCAAGGACAGACTATTAGTAAATATACCCTGATTGCACTTCTTTCAACATTTCAGAAGGGCATACCTCACCCCCCCCAAAAAGTGTCTACGTTTCAAATAGTTTAAAATTAGAAGAGCTGAAAATTAGACCAATGAATATGCCTACCATTTGATCTTCCTGGCCTAAGCCACAGTGCTACGACCATAAGTTCAGAAAGAAGGGGAAAGAGGGTAACAGGTGTAAATGATTAGCCTTGAAACCCACAAGTGGTCCAAAACCCATGTAGTTTAACTCCTGGCCCAGCCTCCTTCCCTCTACATCAAACGCTTTCTTTAAAAAAAAAATTTATTGGCACATAATCCACACATCATACAATTTACTACCTAAATCATATCAAGAAGAGTTGTACAGTCATTACCACAATCAATTTTGGAGTTTTTATTCGTTCGTGTTCACTGTCATTAGCTCCCCATTTCCTCCCAATCTCCCTTGCCATACCCCCCAAAATTAATCCAGTTATAGATTCATTCATCCTAGATTTCATATGCCAAAAAACAAAAAAAGCTAATAATAACTAAATACAATAGAGAAAAGCCTCAATCAAAAAGAAAGCAGAAAATAATAAAAACTAGAACAACTTTAAAATGGATCAAAAGGGAGATCACATGATAAGGTGTGAAGTTTAACCTAACTACATCTGCCATAATTCACTTCGCAATGCACTTTACCTGACAGCGAGGCTATTCACACATCCCTGGTCTATGTCAGAGAGAATCACCAATAACTTAATCCCAGAGTAGTTCCTTGCCCTTCTTTTTTTTTAAATGGAAACAACTCTTAAATGGGTCAAAGGGGAGATCAAATAAGGTATTATATTTTAACCTAAATATACAATGCTCTTGGTCTCATAACAAGGCTATTTACATCCCTTGACTATGGTTAGTGGGGATTAACCAGAGGCTTAATCCATGTGTGGACCCTGAAAGTGGATTTGGGGATTCCACTGTTGGCCAGAGCCTTCTGCAAACCAGGTGTTCACTATTTAAGCGCTGGTAACCATTCCCCCCTTTGGATTTGGTTTATATTGTTTACAATCCTTGGATCACACAGCCTGGTGTGCTTCTTCCATGTCAACTTACTTGACTTCATGTAGGTGGCTGCTTGTTTGAAGACAAGCCTTTAAGACCCCAGAAGCTATTATTTTTGACAGCTGGGCACCAGTTAGTTTCTTAATCACACTTTGCTATAACACCCGACTCTTCAGTGATCTCTTTATGAGGGCTAGTATCAAGCAGGGCCATGTCATAAGAACTAATTCTCCCCTTAAATTTGGGCTAGGATTAAGTTTGAGCCCTAAATCCATTCACATATCTATGGTTTCTATATGTCTCTGGTTCACCTGGGAGACTTCGTTATAATTTTATGTTAGAGAACATTATCAATCATCCCCCTGGGGCATATGGTAATTCTATTGATAGTGTCATTAATTAAGATATGGTACAAAATTTAAAAGGCAGTGTACACTAATAATGAGGGTGGTGATAAGGCAAAACTTTCAGTAATATTCATTGACAGTGGCAAAACCAGGCCTACTAGATTAACACATATCTTAATAAAGCAAAGAAGCCTTAATATAATAAGTATATGGTAGTCCCGGGCCACATTCACTGGGCACTCTCAAAGCAAGAGATCCAAACCAAAGTCGAACGCCAGCCAGTTCTATAACCTTGGTATAGCAGTCATGCGCTACGTCTCACACTAGGGAGTTTCAGTCCAAGGGCTACAGGTGGGTTTGAGGCAGAGCCTGCATCACTAAGCGCCAAAGGATTATTGAAGTCCCATTCTAGGCTCTAAGCAGGAATAGAGACTCAAGAACCACTGCGTCTTTGCTCTCAAAGTGGTAAAATAGAACACATTACCAGAAAAGTAGACCAGCTATAAGAGCCCCCAATAAAATGATTAAAATAGATACCTATGCAAATAATTTCAGAATATTAAAAAAAAGTAGACTTTTGGAGGACACCCCCACCCCTCTTTAGGGCAGTGAAAGATAAATCATACCAAAAAAAGCAAGGAAAGGCCCTCAAAGCAGCTACGGTGAGTGTCTGACCCAAACCCAGAGTCCCAGAGGCACTTCCGCCAGCGGCCGTCAGTATTTATTAATAGATCAAACATTTGATGGCTCTCTCTTGTGCCCTTCTTCCCCTGGAGGCTAATTTTAACTTTGACTAACAGTCCTCAATTAAGCATATTTTTAATATAATGAAGAGCTCTAAAAAAGCAAAGCCAAATAGAAAACAAAATCCCTAGTGCCCCTGTTAAGGAATAATAAAGATTCAAGTACTGAAAAAAAACAACCTCCAAACAAATAACCTGAAACAACGATGTCAATGGCATTCTTACTCATGACAAGGGACAGAGAAATACCACTCAACTCAAATGCCATCTGGAAGGTGAAAGTGGCACTCCACAGGCACTATTAACTTTGATGATTATGAACTAGTGAGAGGATTTAGAAGACTTAAGAGTTTACGTCCCTGATGATCAGAGCTCAGTTCGAAAACAATGAAATTCTTAAAACTGCAATGTCAGGACTGGCCAAGGAAACAAGTGAAAATCCAACCCATTAGGCTCTTGTTACCATGATCAATTCATGTTTCTTATGTCTTAAAGGTCATTCACTGCTCCAATGACATGACAGCCACAAGTTATTTTTTACCCTAAAGACAAAAACAGTTTAGGGAGTAACACACCAGCTATCTAAAAATGAACTATGATCTGTAATCTTAGTAATCATGAATTATTTATAAATGACATGTAGCCAAGGGAGGGGCTAAAGTGAACTCAGAGACTTAAGATGCTGCCAGATACGTATTTTCTTGGAAAACGTTCTTCTCCAACTTTAGCCTAGCAGTCATTTTACCTCAGAAATTACTATAACCAATTAATATTAGCCCCTCCGCCCCCGCTCCTGTTGCCTTAAAAACATAGCCAAGTACCAGAGGTGTTCTCCCAGGAACGGTACCAGCAGCACTTCATGTGTAAAGACAGTCATATTAGAATCAACCCATCATTGTGTTGCGTTAAAAGACAATTTCGCCAGGCAGCGCATGAGGTAGAGATCAATAAAGAAAAATAAAGAAAAGAAAATGTATGGAACATGAATGACCCACGGATGTGATAAGATAGAAAATAATTCCAACTTTTTTTTTTAAGGCAGGGAGCAGATATGCAGGCTGAATTGCAGACTGAGGCCAAAACGAAGACTGAGTAGCTCTAAGAAATCATATCCATCTAGGAATCATCTGCTGTTTCTAAACAGGGAGCTTGTCCATCATCTTCCTTTTTTGTTTTTCTATTACTCTTTCAAACGTATTATAATATTTTGTAAGTAATTCCCAAGGACGATATGTTGTGAGGACGAGAGCATGCCAACACCCATCCTTGTCCATCCACGTGAACTAACTCGCTGTCTCGCCGCCGATTCTTCCAGTCGCCGGCCGTCAACAAATATTTCCTGAGCCCCAAATACCTAGAAATGCTGAGATGTCCTGTTAAAGAGAAAAGCTGGGTCCCTACACTCATTGAGAGCTGAATGTTGAAAATGAGAGCGAAAACCCAGGAAGTCGGCTTTGCTGCCTGCTCTCCCAGCTCTAGAGAGAGAAAAAGACGTGCTCCTGGTCAACCTCCAGTCAGACAGTGAGAGAGGAGGAGGACAGGTTGTTTTCCAGGTGAATGCTGACCTTGCCACCCAGACTGCATTTCTTCACCAAGGGTTCTCTTGGTGTGCCAGATAGAGAGTAAAGAAATGAGAGAATGCTCTGGCAATTAAACTAAAGACTAAGTGAAAAACGGATAGGATTGGCATGTAATATTCTTTTAAATCCATCCTAGGCCAGACAAAATCTAGACTGCAGTTAGGGAAGGAAAACAGATAAAAGGGAAAAGAAGGCAATAAAGAAGACAGAAAAGAGGGGACAAATGAGGGGTGAATCAGGGGAGCAAGTTGTTGATGTGTCTTCCTCCATTCATTTAATGAGCAAAGAACGCCCACTATGTGCACAGGTCAAGGGTAGATGCTAGAGATATGGTGGTGCCCAGGCCCTGGGTGACCACCATGAAACACCCAGCCACAGGCCCTGTGAAAAGTGTTCTCAGGAAGCAGCACCCGATGCTGCAGAGGCACACAGAGGAGGCACAAGCCAAGGCAAAAAGAAAACACCAACAGCTACCGTCACTGCCATCGAGCCAACGCCAGCCCATAGCAACCCTTAGGACCAAGTAGACCTGACCCTATGAGTTTCCAAGACTGTAGCTCTGGATGGGAGTAGAAAGTCTCATCTTTCTCCCAAGGGATGGCTGGCGGTTTCAAACTACGGGCCTCGAAGTTAACACTACATCACCAGGGCTCCTAAGGCAGCGCAAAGCCAGAATGAAGTAGTCAAAACCCGAATCCAAACTCCTGGTGTGTGAGAAACTCAAGAGAGCCCAATACCAGGTCAGGGGTGAAGATAACCAACAAAGAAAGACCAGTGTCAGATAATACTGGATTGATGTCAGGGCCAGTGGGATGGGCAGTTTCCTAACTATCTTGAGCATCTATGAAAGACTCCAACAATCATCCAGCACATGGAAGCATCCATTGTCTAAGGTAAACTGATGTCCATTGGGGAGCGGGGAGAGGGTCCACTCTCCACTCCCTGCATCTCTCCTCAACAAGAAACTCCTTTTTGCTTTGACAAACCAATGTGCCCTCCCACAGTTTGTCTGTGTGTGTGGTGATCTATTTCTTGGTTTGTTTGTTGCTGTCCCCATGGGGACCCGGATGAGAACTTGATATGGGGCCCGTTTGTACTGTTCACACTGCTGTACGGGCTTAGCCGCGGGAACCAAGGCTTCTTGGAAGCAGTAGAGATTCTCAAGGATGAGTAGGAGTTTGTCACTCCAGGTATGTCCTTATGAGGGTAAAGGCAAACAGGATTATCAGATCACATAACCATTCAAGATCCGAGCCCACTACCTTCTTGGATTCCAGGTTGACTAAGCAATCTTCTAAATATAATTCAGTTTCCCACAGGGAAGGAATGTACTGATCAAGACGACATAAACATCATGATGACTGGCAGTTTATATTCTCCTTATACGCTAACAAGTGCCCTGACTTTGAGACTCCATTTCTGTGAATGCAGTTAGCCTGAGTCAGCCTCACACACATGGACAATCAAACCCTCATCAGCGATACCCTCCTCGGGAGATGCCCACTGGTACCCTGCCAAGAGACACCCACCCCAGTCTCCACAGAGCGATACCCCGTCTTCCCGGGCCGGCCGCAGCATCCACAAAGCCCCTCACCACCCATAGAGCCCCTCAGGGGCAATTTAAGGAAACCGTGTCATATCTCTATGAATTTATTTGGCTTTTAAATAAACAATAAGTTACAGCTAGCAATATATGAATAAATTCAATGAAACTAACAGAATATACCCCTTCAGTTAATATAAAATAACTAGTGCTTGCTTCGGCGGCACATATACTAAAATTGGAACGATACAGAGAAGATTAGCATGGCCCCTGCGCAAGGATGACATGCAAATTCGTGAAGCGTTCCATATTTTAAAATATATATAATAACTAAACTAAAAATGCTCATTTGAACTAAAACTAACCATGCACAACACACAGGAGGAAGAAGTGTCAGGCTGCCCCTATGGGCAGTTCTACTCTGTCAGGGCTGACGTCAGTCAGAACCAACCCAACGGGCTGTACAAGCAAGAATCAAGTCCTGGCCTTCTTTCAAAAAGTGACTATTCTTTTATCTCAATGAATTCAAGAACCTTGATTACAAGGTATATGATCTATATCATTATTATCCAATGTTTTATGCTTTCTATAATTTAAACAGGACTAATCACTCAAATACTCTCAATTACATACTAAGAACTTGAAAAGCTCTCCCTCTTAACCAAAACAATGCATGTGTGTGTGCATGTGTGTGTGTGTGTGTGTGTGTGAACTTACCTATATCTATTTAGTTGTGTGTATATTTATTCATTTATTTCAATTTGTAAAGTTTTCTTCATAGGTAAAGAGCTCTTAAAATCAATAAGAAATAAACTTATACAAAATCTACTAGCCAATCAGCCTAAAAAGTAGCAAGAAAAACTAAAAGGACTAAAAGTAATATGCAGCCTCACTAGTAAAGCAAATGTTTACAGGAAGCAATTTTTCACCCGATCGTATTTGCAGGGTTTTTTGGTTTTTGCTTTTAGTTTTAGTTTTAATACCCAAAGTATTTAAGGACTGTTGAAACAAATTGTTACACACTCTTTTGTTGGGATTGCAACTGTTTTAAAGAGAAACTCAGGAACTGAACCTTAAGAAGGGTCAAACCTTTATTGTGGAATCTCCTAGAGCAGTGGTTCTCAACCTTCCTAATGCCGCGACCCTTTAATACAGTTCCTCGTGTTGTGGTGGTGACCTCCCAACCATAAAATTATCTTCATTGCTACTTCATCACTGTAATTTTGCTACTGTTTTGAATCGTCATGTAAATATCCGATATGCAGGATGTATTTTCACTGTTATAAATTGAACATAATGAAAGCATAGTGATTAATCACAAAAACAATATGTAATTCTATATTGTGAAATATTTATTTCTAATGGCAATTAAATGAAATTTTGTCTTGAAGCAGTGTGTAGCACGGGTAACAGTCTTCAAGCCAGGTACTCATCTGTGAGCGTATCTGCATGTGGGCGGACCCGCCTGGAGACAGATAGAGGAGCGGTGTCTCAGTTCCTAAGACCATCAGAAATGTTTTCCACTGGTCTTAGGGGACCCCTGTGAAAGAGTCGTTCGACCCCCAAAGGTGTCACAACCCACAGGTTGAGAACCGCTGTCCTAGAGAAAGAAATGATCACACTGCAAAAATTTGCATGCTATGGAACTATTATGGGATACTGAGGAATATTTAATGACATAAAAAAAGTGATTTAATGTTAAATCGAGAAATACAAGGATTAAAACATTATGCAAAGTATCATGCAATTTTTATTAAAATGCATCATGTGTTTGTGTACGCTTAAGAACTGACTGAACTTTTAAAAAAGAAAAAGACAAATGAAAATGCTTAAATTGCTAGCAGTGATTTGTCTGAAGGGTAGTGTTATACTGTTTTAAAATTTTTACTTCTATATCTTATTTTCTAAATACGTTAAAATGAAGATCTGGTTCTTGTATAATGGAAGCTTCTCTTCCTCACTTTCAAAAAAAAATTTTTTTTAACCATTTTACTGGGGGCTCTTCCAGCTCTTCTAACGATCCACACAGCCATTGTGTCGAGCACATTTGCAAATATGCTGCTAAGTTTTTTAAGCTTTATTCTAGACAGCAGTTTGAAAATAAATTTCCCACTAGGGGAATAAAGAACAACAAAGGTAAACCCACTGTCATAGACTCAATTCGAATTCATAGCGACCCCATTCAGCAAGATGGTAAACCTTCATGGGAGCAGATAGCCTCATCCTTCTCCCACATAGCAGCTGGTGGGTTTGAACCGTCAACCTTACAGCTAGCAGTCCTATGCTTAACCCACTATACCACCAGGGCCCTGGAAAATTAAACATGCACAGAGAATAAAACTAACCTGGGCCTCTATCTGTAGCATGTGTTAAAAAATCTAATCTAATGATTTAAACACCTTTATTGCAGCTGGCTAATTCAACAAAAGTATCTGCATATTATGTGTAAAGTTTTACATAGCGTTCAAAGATGAGTAAGATGTCATCCCTACCTTCAGAATTACAGAAAATACAAGAAAATTAAATCATGAACATAAAGTTATAGCATTGGACAGGTGGTATTGAGAACAGAATTGCTAATTACTATTCCTATAAAGACACCATGTAAGACAGCATAGAAATTATTAGATTCGGGGTTCTTCTTCCCTAGCGATTTTATCTCACAGAATGTCCACATTACAAACCTTTCTCTCTGGAGCCTCCTCAAACGAAAGGAGAAGGCCTGGTACAAAAGGCCCACAGCAGCATTGAATACCATGATGTATAAATGCCGTGTTGTAACTCTCCATCGAACCGCGCATCCCGAACTTTGTCTTCATATAAGGGAGACTTCGGCTCAGACCTGGCTTACATGGGGATTTGCTTCCTTTGGGAGAACATGCTTGGTTCCAGCATCTGCACCTCTTGCAGCTACTTTTCTCTCAGGACTGGAATCTGTCCACTCAATCCTGATGCAAGAAAATTCTCCAAAATGTGCGAACAACGAATCCTCACATGACTGCATCAGGCCCCAACTACAAAACTGAGACTAGACCAGTTTGAAGGAAAAGCAATGGTTGGTGATAAGAACATTGTTGACCATGGAAATATTTGGTCAGTTCACCCTGAGGCTGGCTAATTCAGCCACAGAAACAGAGGAGAAGAAGAAAGGGAAGAAGACAGATGTGTTCATATATCTCCTACAAACATCAGCTTAGCGTAAGGCACAGAGGAAACATAAACTAAAGCCAGGTAGAATGGGGAAGATGGCCTGTGTGTTGGTCCAGAGGACGGCTTAGTGAATGTCTTCAATGACGTCAGGAGAAGGTGTTCTTATAACCAGAACAGCCTGTGGCCCGTCTCGTGCTCACATTTCTTGATAGAGACCCTGATATGAGGCCCCTTTCCCCTCCCAAAACAGTACAGAACTAGCTGGACGTTGATATTGCGGAGCACATTTTGAGAGGCAAAGAAAACATACAAATTAAAAAAACAGACCTGATTCTGAAGCTGACACATAGGAAACCATTCTAATCCTTCCTGCACATAAACACCACCCCTAACAAAGAATTTCAGGGACTCTGAACACAGTATCCTTTATACCTCATCTTGCCCAGAACCAACCAGTGTTTTCTAAAGTGAGGTTAGCTCCTCCAATTCTAGGGTTCCTCCCACTGCCCTAATGGGGGAGCTGGTTGGACACCTTCCCAGAAGCCCTGTTCCTGCACTTTCCTCCAAGTCTGCGTTTGCTACAGTAAGAACAATAAGGAAAACAAGAGCAGTCTTTCTGGAGACTCTTCCGGGTGAACCAGGCTAAAAGTTTGCTGCACATTATGAGTGAGGTACCGTGATCATCCTCAAGGCGAGGCATCCGAGCTTACAGCTCACACAGCCAATAGGACAAAGAGTCAGGCTTCAAAGCCCACCCTCTCCCACCCCCAGTGGGTTGAAGGCACACTGACCTGCCCCATCGGGAGTGATGGTTCCCAGCTTCACAGCCAGTGGGTAGCCCATGTCTCTGTAATGCTCCAGTGCATGCCCGTTGCCCCCGGAGCTGTCGAAGAACCATTTCCCACACAGGACGGAGCCGTCTGTCAGATTCAACCACAGGTTTTCCCGCAGGTCACACCTGGCACACTTCCAACCACTGGGAAATCATTGAAGAGCAGTTCCGGAGCCAGGATGCAAGGCATGATTAGAAAATTAACAACTCAAATTCAAATTGTTTTAAAAAAACAGACTTTCTCAAGCTGGGCATCACAGTGAAAAAAACAAAGAGTCTGGTGGCGAGCTCCCTTCAAAACCTAACTCTCTCCCATCCCAGAGCAGAGCCTCCTTGATCGGATAGCTCTATGCCCTCCCTCTCAGACCTGCCCGAGAACCACACCAGCATCTGAGAGCAGGCACCGCTAACGAAGAGCATGCCAATAGGAATTGGTTAAAACCTATTCGCCAAAAGTTTGTAAACTGGGTTCCCCTAGACTCGGACACAGGGTCTGAATGAGAATGGTTTGTTGGGGAGGTGGCCCCAGGAAGCACCAGGGGCGTGGGGAAGGGAGGCAGGGCCAAGAAAGGAGCCAGGACAGACCACATAAATGAGCAGCAGCCCACTCACTACAGGCAAGTTGAGCTCCATGCGGCCGGGGACCCTCAGAAGATTGTTAGCCCACCTGAGGGGCAGTGAGGCTGGGGTATCTATGCACCCACTCTAACAGCCACTGGTTCATGGTTGTTCTGGGATGGGGCAGTGGGCATAGCTCAGTGGCCTGCAAAGCCATCAGGCAGGGAATTGCAGGTGCTTGCAACTGGAAGTCAGCTTAGAGACCAGCTCAGAGGGGACGAGCTGGGCCTAGACAGCATCTACTACAAAAGTATGAGCAATGACAGAGCTAAAAAAAAAGGTAGAGAAACGATTATTCCTGTGGCTGGTTTAGGAGAAAGTTTCATGGCTCTATCTGACTCTCACCTTGGAGGAATCCTGACTCCATTGTCCAGCTGGGTGAGGTTGTTGGCGTATTTGGACACTGGCAATTCATTCTCCCATGTGTCTGGATCTTGCTTTCGGTAAGGAGATTTGGAGCTGAGCACCGCATCACAGGCAATTGTTACCTACAAGACAAATGCAGACACAACATACAAATGCAGTCTGAGAGGACAACAGTTTCTACAGAGTGAATTTGAAAGTCTATGAATAAATACCGCCGAATTCAAGGAAAATCCAACAGTCCAATTACCACGAGGGTGGGGACCTGGCTTTGGGGCAGGTGCACCTTCCCCCTGGGCTGAGCTAGGTTTGGGCCTCAGCCTAGTTTGTAGTATTGATGACCTCAGACAGCGAGGAACCAATCTGACCACCAGCTTGTAAACTAACACCCAGGGGTCATATTCATCAATACCTACTTCTAAGCAAGCTGGCGGAGGGTGGGGGGAGGAGGGCAGAGCAGGAGGAGACCAATTTATAGGGGTGAAATAAGAATGCCTAGAATTTACCCGAGCAGTGTGGTTTCTGCCTAACAAATGTGCACCCAGATATCCAATGCCTTCAACTCATCACACGATGGCATGTGGTCAAGGGCACTTTAAGTGGAGTTAGCATCATGGCTCTCCATTTCTTAATCTGATGCCAATGTGACCCTGGACGAGGACACGCGTAGGTGTCCTTGGTGCCAGATCAGCCTACATCATACACAAATCTGTGATGTTCAGCTTGGCAGCAAGTGACCACAGGAGAAGGGGGAAGGCAGTCTCTCTGCCATCTCCCAGGCCCAAATTGACGCTGGCAGTATGCCTGATATTACATTTGCTCTTTGCTTAATGATAAAGCTTTTTTCTAACTGTTCATAAAAACGTAGAGTCTGGTGGCTGTATCCACTTTGAAAAACATTCTGACAGTTCCTCCATCAGATAAACAGAGTCACCAGGGGGTCACCAGAGTCACCAGTCACCAGCAATTCTACTCCTAGGTATCTGTCCAAAAGAAATGAAAACGTACGTCTATGTAAAAACATGCACAAGACTATTCAGTGCACACTGAATTATTATGGAGTGAAACAACCCAAATGCCCATTAACTGACACATGGAAAAATTAAATGACCACTTACTGGAATATTATACAGCCATAAAAAATGCATGAACTATTGAATGACTCTTAAAAACACTATGTTTAGCCAGCAAGGCCTGTCACAGTCACAAAGAAGTACGTGTCATATTTATTTTATTTATATGAAATGTCCTGAATAAACAAATCCATAGAGACGGAGTTAGTTAGGTTATTTTGCCAACCTGGCCGATAAATACATGTGGGGCTAGTTGAAGGATGGAGGGATAAATGGCTTGATGACCCTCGCCTTTCTAGTTCTCGGGTCTCTTGCTTTCTGATGGTTGGACCAGGGTGCAGCTGCCTTGGCCAGTTCCCTGCTTCAGCTGGCAGGGCTCACTTCCTGCAGGACGTCCCTGAGGAGAAGCCACATGGACCTGCCCTGATGCAGCCCTGGGTGCTGGAGCAGCCGTGTGGAGACCCCTGCCAGTGCTGAGATGCTTACACATTCATTCTCTCTGCTTTCCTCCTGCACTCGGCATCATTGTATGTGTTTTGTGAGATGGAGGACTTTGTGGATTGGTGTTGGACATATGGGTTAATGTTAGACCTGTGGGCTTGGGCAGCACTGGGTTAGGATGTTTTCTTGATGCACAGTTAACCTTTATATAAAACTCTCTCTTATACATGAGTTTCTGTGGATTTGTTTCTCTAAAGTACCCAGATTAGCACAGAGACCCAAAAAACATATAAGTGGTTGCCTGGGGGCAGATGGGGTGGGAGTTGGAGGACAGTGATGATGGAGTATAAGTTATGGAATAATAAAATAAATCCCCCATGTATTTTTGTGATGTATGCCTAACTCTGTGAACATCATAGAAACCACCGAATCGTTCTTACAAACTTATATTCTAGGTCACTAATATACTGCACAATTAGCTGAACTTCACACAGAATGTATTCCCCTGGGTAGCACTGAGGGGTGACACTAGAACTCTGGGAGAGGCAATGAAAGCAGCTCTCTCCCCCACCATCCCAAGTCCATCCAGTCCGTTAGCAAATGCTATCAGTTCTACACCCAAAATGCATTTGCCATAAACTCCACGTCAACAGCACCCTAATCCCCACCTCCATCATGGCTCTCTGGGATGGGTACACCACAGCCTCCTTCCAGTTCTGTTTTCCCATCTGTCTTTTCCCTGCACAGCAGGCAGAGGGACTGCTTTGAAAATTGTTGTTGTTGTTGTCCCAACTCATAGTGACCCTATGCACAACCGAACGAAAGGCTGCACAGTCCTGCATCATCATCCCTAAGCCTAACCCCACTGATGAAGCCCCTGTGTCAATCCAGCACGTTGAGGGCCTTCCTCTTTTTCACCGTCCCTCCCCTTTACCAAGGAACCCTGGAGAGGCAGTGATCACGTGCTGGGCTGCAGTCTGCACAGGCAGCAATTCAAAACCACCAGTAGCTCCACGGGAGAAAGAATGGACTTTCTAGTCCCGTAAACATGTAGTCTCGGAAATCGACAGGGGAGTCGCTCTCAGTCAGCACTGACTCAATGGCAATGAGTTCCCACTTTAGCGAGCATGATAACCTTCTTCAGGGACTGGCCTCTCCGGACAAGATGTCCAAAGTGTGTAAAACAAAGTCTCGCTATCCTTGCCTCTAAGGAGACTGATTGTACTTCTTCCAAAAGAAATGGGCTTGTTCCTTTAGCAGTCATTGGTACTTTCAATAGTCTTTGCCCTTAAAATTTAAATGCACCTATTCCTCTTTGATCTTCCTTATTCAACGTCCAAATTTCACATGCATATGAGGTAATGGAAAATACCATGGCTTGGGTCAGGCACACGCTAGTCCTCAAAATAACACTCTTTCTTTTCAATATTCTGAAGGGGTCTTGTGCAGCAGATTTATCTAAGCAGCACGTCTTTTGATCTCGACTGCTGCTTCCCCGAGCATTGATTGTGGATCCACCTAAAGAAAAATCCTTGACAAGCTCAATCATTTCTCCACTAAGCATGTTACCCATTGGTCCAGGTGTGAGGACTTGGGTCTTCTTTACAACCTGCAATATGCAGGTGACACAACCTTGCTTGCTGAAAGTGACGAGGTCTGGAAGCCCTTGCGGATGAAGACCAAGGCTTTGAAAATCAGATCCTATCGTTCCCTGACTAAAAGCTCCCCGTGGCTATACTGAACACCACTAACTGATCACATTGGGCGAGGCAGGAAAAAGAGTACATCCTGCCATCAGAAGGAGTATGCTCGATCTATTATGGATCTGGCATTTATAACTATAGATAAACCTGTTAGAAGATATTCTCATTTTTCTCTCACAAGGGCTGGTGTAAAAATTAGCCTTTCTTTTGAATTATGTGAAATATATTTCCCACCCACTTCCAGCAGTGCTCCTAGAAAAAGGATTGAGTTCACCAAAAGCCCATACCAGATATTATGGATTTGAGCCATGCAGCCGTCTGCACTTCTGGGTACAGCATCCTGGTGTTTTTAGGCTGGCCTGATCCGATCTCCTGTCCATTTCACTGATGACCTGATTGTATCCTCAGCCACCTCCACACGGTCTCCACCTCTGGTAGGCCTATTTCGTGCTCTGGCTTACAAGGCACCGTACTTTTGATCAAGATTCAGATACTGGGTGCTCTCTTTTCTTTGCTCCTCCTTCCTGGTGGCACCCGACACAGTGCTCCTGTACTTCGGGGGCACTGTAAAGCCCTGATCTAGTGTTCTCTGAAAATCTCCTAAAATCACTTATGTGAGTCATGATTGAAAGCCGTGATCAATCATCCTATAATCACACCGTCAATTACCCTTCCCTGGATTTGGTACTTGGAATGGGGTGAAGAACCTCAGAAGCAATCTTAGCTCTAGCCCAGGTCTCTGGAAGCCTCAAGCTCCATGATGTGCCTGGGCCAGCTCCAACCAGTTCACCAGAGCATCGATTAGATTTTAATAAATTTTGTGTGATGGCTGTTAAGCACAGCCATTATAAAAAATTAAATTATATAAAAGTGAAATCAAAGAAAAACACCTCCAAAACCATCACTTTCTACCTGTTTTACTACATCGTACTACTATTAGGTGTGCTTGGGGGTATTTACCTTTATTGAGAATACACAAGTAAAACATACACTAATTTAACCTTTTCTGCATATACATCTCAGTGGCACTGATTACCTGCTCATCCTCCTTTAATACGTCGATTCTCTCTCATTAACATGACCTCACGGCCCCCTAAGTTTCCCATCGAACCTTTCTAGTTACTATTCGTCAGTTTGGTTCCCTGGAGAAAGGCCTTTAAAATAATAGAATGTTCCAGGCATCTTGTGCCAGTTAAACTAAACTATTGTTTGGTTGTAGGAAGACTTCCAGGGGATATTTTGGGTTTAAGATTTAAAGATGATCTCAGGACAAACATCTCAGAGGCTCATCTAACCTCCACGGCTCCAGAAAGTCTGGAGTACATGAGAATTTGAAACCCCTGTTCTGTGATTTCCCCCTACAGAATCTTCCATTAAAAAGCTCATTAAGGGCAACCAGGCACCATCCGGTTCCTCGGGTCTCGTGGCAAAGAAAGCTGTTGTTCATGGTGGCAATAGCCACGCATTCCATTTCTGCCTCCCATTGCTGACTTTCCCTTCTTCTGTTGCTTGGACTAACAGAGACTAAGTGTCATGCCTAGGGTGGCCACATGCCAGCTTTCCAGACCCAGACACTACACCATGAACTAGGAGGTAGAAAAGGAGCACCAAACACAGGACGATTTACTTTTCTGTTATCTGAATTGTGGAAATGCTAATAGAATGCTGCATGATGGCACACGTCTTCCCAACACCACAGGCAATGATGTTACAGTGGCAGCTGGAGACTGGTCATAATGGGAGTTTTACACCATGGAAATCAGCAAACACCACAAAGCAGAGAGCCATGAACACACCACTGCTCAGGTTCCTGATTTCCAAAATGAGAGTGCTGAATTTCAGGCTCTAAGATATGTGCGGAGCCCAAAAGCCTAGGCATCTGTGAACTTCGCATCACTGATAGGCAGC